GACATGACAAAAAAAAAGATCGGGTGGCGTGATTTCTAAAAAAAATGAAATTGTCATTATTTATTGCCACCACTGTATATATAATAATAATAATATAAAACTTGTACCATAAATAAATGTACAGTATCTAATTGAATATATAATAATTAAAAAAAAGTTTTTAATTTTGCTATCCTCGAGATCTGTAAATCTTGACAGTATGAAGTTGTATTCATCCCGATTGTTCCTGAACTGGATCTTTATTTAAATAAATTTCAACCGAGACGCGGGGTTTAGATAGTGCCTTAAAAAAAGAAGAAAAAAAATGGGATTGATTTTTTTTTAACATTATATAATGCGAATAAAGTAATAATAACCAAATGTTACATTCAGTATTATCGTTTAAACAAACTTCATATGGAAACCAACCCGTCACAATTCTGAATGTCACAAAAATGTCAGGATTGGTACATAGTTTGACCCGAATGAAGACAACTATTGTTGATACGCACCTTCCATAAACATGCTATTTGGGATTTATATTGCTATTACCAAAACGTTCCGAGAACGTATTGTACTTTACATGTCGTTAAGCAATCCACGACATAGTGTACGTGCGTCCGCGAAAATAAAATAATTAAAAATTCGAAAATCAGAGTACTTTGACGAAAAATTGCATGAATCTCAAAGTAAACACGACATCCTCATGTTACGTCGTTAGTAAACATGGTTGTTGCTCGAAGTTTATATAAAAACCCTTCGTTTTTCGACCGAACATAATTATCTTGTAACAAAAAAAAACAAAAAAGACAGACATCATTTATTTAATAGCAACGACAATGACGAAGAAATCTTTGACCTGCCTAATGTTATTCTGGATTTCATTTGTATTATTTTCGTCCGCAGGTGCAAATCACAAAAAAACATGAAAAATGCGTTGGGGATAAGATTGGAACTATTACTGGTGCGTGTGATAATCTTTATACTGTACGTAGTATTCCAAGGCACTCGATAATTATTGACAGTAATTGTAAATATAAGAACAACCGAATTTCAAAATTCCGAGTGAAATTGCGGTTCCTGAGAAGAATGTATTCAAGTTTGCTTTGGATCTCATCGGAATCTCAAATTGGACTTGTGTCGTCGAGTCTAATGGCACCGCACACTGGAGTACTTGTTAAGTCGACCTCTTATAGTCATCAATTAATTTAATTTACAGTTCTCGAGCTAAATAAACCCATTCCTGCAACGATATTACAGCTTACATCGATTCATATATGGCAAACGATCGAAACAATTTCCAATTGGATGAAGATTGCATCGTCGGCAGACATTTCTTTACTGAATTCCGTGAGTAAAAACACAGATCGTAGTAATTTATGATGAAAAAATTTTTGTATCCATTTTTTATAATTGATTTCATGAAATCATCACCTATACCCACAGCGGTTAACGGAGGCATCGCGGTATATCAATCGTTAGTACCCACTGACAATTCGATGCTCTATGAGAGGCCTCTCATTCGTTACAATTCACCCGACGGACCCGAGAACCTCCAATGGATCTTGATTGAAGCGAGGGTTTGTCTTCAATCCATTGTCAATCATCATTGTGCTCCATGTACGTAATCGTTTTAATAAATGCATAAGCTTGAACTTCTCGATTAATAGCATCCGGTAGGTCGAGGTGCATTCTCTGATATCACTTATGCGCTCCGAATCAAGACCAAAGGTGGAAATCCTCCCAGTTCCGCCAAATGTATGTTCCTCATTATTTTTTACCATTTTGTAGAAATCCATTGGTGTTGGTTTAGTTTATTAATCATTTCATTTAACTAATCAAACACTTAGGTGGTAAGAACTATAAAAACGGAGATGTCATAAGCATCCATTATTCTTCTCAAAATTGGTTCTACAAGAGTGCAAAATAAGCCGGGGGGTTTAATAGTACCAATACAGATAATAAACAAAATTTGTATGCATTCTTCAAAATTTATTTGTATTCTATTTGATTTTTTTTTTAAAAAAAAAAAAAATATAAATAAAGTTATCATCGGTATTGCCATAATGAAAAACATCGCAGATTGCAATGGTGACACTTTTACCTCAGCAAATTATTTCATCTGCCTAAATTATGCAGAGCAGGTTTTTCCCCTTCAAAATATTAAGGATTACTTGAAATCACACAAAAATACATGGTCCCAATTGCAAATGCGCCCAAAGATAATAATTTTAAAAAGACAAAACAAACATATATTTAATAACTTTATTGTTCCTTACATCACACATACGCAAGTATATTAAATTTTAACTATATATTATTGTACTAATTAATTATTAAATAATGTTTATTTCTCTATTGAATATGAAGTAATGCGTAAATCTAACGGATTTTGTTTATGGCTATAGCTCGACTTGCGAACATTGATGTTTTTTATTCTTTATGTGGATGATGTGGTGGTCGTAGTAGTCGAATCATTAGTGGAAGTGGTTGAATCAGTTGTGGTGGTAGGATCGCTTGAGGTGGTTGTGGTGGTTGGTAAACTTAAATCGGTTGTAGAAACTAGATCACCAATCGATTCCTCGGTTACTGTTGGGGTGGTTGAGACTGAATCGCTTGAACTGGCTGTGGTTGGAATTGATTCTTCGTTTACATATTGGTCACCGTACTTCTTTGTGCATTTTGTTGAAGTCGATACATAATTGTCAGAATTATCGCCATCACCATAATAACCATTATTATATTCATTGTCGTTATCAACGGCTGGGGTTGGCTTTCCACCCTTCTTTGTGCATTTGGTAGAAGTAGAAGTGGTTGTTACATCGTCATTGTCGTAATCATTTCCATTGTCCCAGTAGTGGTCGTGATCGTAACCATTGTCATCGTTGTTATTATCAACAGCTGGAGTTGGTTTTCCACCCTTCTTTGTGCATTTGGTAGAAGTAGAAGTGGTTGTTACGTCGTCATTATCGTAATCATTTCCATTGTCCCAGTAGTGGTCGTGATCGTAACCGTTGTCATCGTTGTTATTATCAACAGCTGGAGTTGGTTTTCCACCCTTCTTTGTGCATTTGGTAGAAGTAGAAGTGGTTGTTACGTCGTCATTATCGTAATCATTTCCATTGTCCCAGTAGTGGTCGTGATCGTAACCGTTGTCATCGTTGTTATTATCAACAGCTGGAGTTGGCTTTCCACCCTTCTTTGTGCATTTGGTAGAAGTAGAAGTGGTTGTTACGTCGTCATTGTCGTAATCATTTCCATTGTCCCAGTAGTGGTCGTGATCGTAACCGTTGTCATCGTTGTTATTATCAACAGCTGGAGTTGGCTTTCCACCCTTCTTTGTGCATTTGGTAGAAGTAGAAGTGGTTGTTACGTCGTCATTGTCGTAATCATTTCCATTGTCCCAATGGTGGTGCTCGTAACCATAATCGAAATCTACATGATCAACGGCTGGGGTTGGCTTTCCAACCTTCTTTGTGCATTTGGTTGAAGTTTTTACATAGTCATGTTGATAATCTACAGCCGGGGTTTGACCAACTTTCTTTGTGCATGGGGTTGAGGATACTGGGCTCACGTATACTGGGCTCTCGGACTCGGGAGTTGGAACCTTCTTCGTGCATGGAGTTGAAGACACGGGGCTCACGTATACAGGGCTCGATTCAGGAGTTGATACTGGGCTCACGTATACCGGGCTCGTGTGTTCAGACACCTTCTTGGTGCATTTAGATGAGCTTGAGGATACAGGGATCACGTGTACTGGACTTGCGTAATCAGACTTTGGAGTTGGAACCTTCTTTGTGCATGGAGTTGAAGAAGATACGGGGCTCACGTGTACAGGACTCTCGTGTACGGGACTCACATATACGGGGCTCTCGTGTACGGGGCTCACATATACGGGGCTGGGGCTCACGTATACGGTGCTCACACAAACGGTGCTCACATATACGGTGCTCACATATACGGTGCTCACGCATACCTTTTCATTATCGACATTTTCGACATGATGATGATGACCGTGTTTCTTCTCTACGACCTTCTCAACCTTTGGTGTTGGAACCTTCTTTGTGCATTTGGATGAGCTTGAAGATACAGGGCTCACATACACGGGGCTCGTGTAATCGGATTCGGG